TAGGAAATCCACCTGCTTAAAGATGAGTTTTAGTCATAAAAARGAATATTTATTATAATTGTCTTACACACTAGTATGTGAAAGAAAAAGAATCAAGTTTGTGAGCATCCCAACTAGGCATCCCAAGAACTGTAACAAAAAGGCATGAGAATGTTCAAGGTGTTTCATTGTTTCATTATTTGAAAGAAAAAAGCAAAAATAATGTGTAATCAGTTTATTAGTTTTTGGATGRACGGAACATATATGTAACACACTATAAAGCCCGTTAGTGGACATGGGGAGAAAAAAAATCGGATCCTGACTTACTTTTGCAAGATCCTGCAAAACTTCCTCAGGCTCCTGACTTACTTAAATGGACATTATTGGTGGTTATCAGTCAGTGTCCAGACTGGTAACTTAGGGTAGTTTTGTCAAAGCTAGCCAGCTGCCTTCTCAGGTTCATATCTCAAAAAGTACCAAATTTATTTATATGGAACTTTCAGGACATGTTTAATACTCTTTCAAAAATGTTTATTACACCACAGAGAGCAGTAGATTAAAGATTGAAACATTTCAGATCTCAAGGGGACGGGAGGGCGGACAAGACAAACGTACATTGCAGGGCTCCTTCAGCCTGTAAAATATGAAAATAAAAAAATCCACCTCAGATTTTGATTAAACTTTCAGGGAAATTCTATCACTTATAGATCTACCGCAGATAGAAATATTAGCCAAATTGCATGGATCGTTTAATTGTTGGATTTTGGTTTTCAAAGAATAAATATATTCCCCTCTCCTGTCGTCAAATAACCCAAACTAAAAACACATGAAAGGAAAAGGAAATGTTTATCGCACCACAGAGATCAGTTGATTAAAGTTTTAAACATGTCTGAGCAGACCCTGTCTGTTAGCAACTGTTAGCAATGTCTGGGGTGACCACCGGCTACAGCTTAGATCTCTATGCTTACCCCGGTCAAAGCTGGACYGTAGGCCGGGCCGACCTCTTCAGCTCTGAGTCTATACCCACTTCGCCTGAATGCACATTATCAGGCATACAAATGATTGAAAAGTGCCTTCCAACCTACTAGAAGGGACAGTCTGGACACTGTATGGGACTGATAACCAATAATAACGTCCATTTAAGTAAGTCAGGATCCCTTACGGGCTCCGTAACACACAAACCGATGATTTAACTGTGCAACAAATTTACTGAAATGAGCCGTTTTCTTGCAAAAATCAAGTATTAAGCATGTGTTTTATTTAGAAACATCTTCATTTGCAGCATTTCCTGCCTTTAAACCTGACAAAAGGTTTTGCAGTGAGCTGATATTTTCTGACGTGCAGCTGCCGAGAGTCCAGCTCGGGCAGCGTGACCCCAAGGCTGCGGCGACACAAAGGAGGCTTTTCTCCCTCCTCGCCGCCGCCGGTCACGCCRCCTCGTGCCAGTTTGTGATGAAATTTTTGCAGCAGAGATGGATTTCAGCATCTTTTACTGCCTGCGCCCCAAAATTTTTTAGTTTGGTAAGCGTTCCAGGAGAAAAGCACTTTGACTGCAGTCTGGCACTTTTCTGTTTATACATGCTTTGGAATCTTTCTTCCCTCTTGAAAATAAAGGTGAAAACTCCTCCTCTGGCTTCGCCTGATAATTGTGCAATTTACAGCGTGTTTGACCTTTTAAGCTGCAGCTCTGTGAAATCTGTTAATGCAGCAGAAGACTTGTAAAGTCTTCAGCTGCCCTTTTGGCTGAAGCTTTGTGTTTGCGTGAACTCCTAATCCTTCTATAGATCCAGTGTCATCGGCTGAAAAAAAAACACAGGCGTCGGCCATCGTTTAGGCCTCGAGCAGCTTTTTTTTTTCTTCCRGTTTTTGCGGTCAGGACGACGAGCCGTGGTGTTTTGTTCCATTCAGGCCTTCGTGTTTCATAACGTGACACGATGAAGAGGCAAAGAGCGCTTTTATTTTCAGTTACACAACAATGTGGAGGGGGGGGGGGTGTGATTACAGCTAAAACCCAAAGTGAAGTGCATTTAAAGGACATCACACCACACACAAATTTAAGGCACTTGATACTTTGGCGCTGAGGAGGTGTGATTGGTTTGAAGTTCACGAGTTAATGCGTTGCAGCGTGTGGTCAAGCTGAGTAAATATATAATTTAACTTAAAGCCAAAAAGAAAAAAAAAACACCCATCAAAGAGAGGACCTTGAGTTGAAATGACACATAAAAGTAAAATTATTGCATTTTCACCTAAAGGGAAACTTCAAATTCCTCTTTTCCACATTTAAATCCTTCAGTTGGGGTCTTTATGTGCAATGCTTTATGCTGATTTCTGTCTTATTGTAACTCCACAAGCCCCTCTTTTACCCCTTTTCTGAGTCTCAGATCAACTCATTTTGATGCTGTCTCTTTCAATCCAAACGAGACACTTCACTCCTCTCCAGCTTCCAGAGCGGTCCATTCCAGTTTGATAAAAGGGTTTACGACYATATAGCTGTGCAGAAACTTTTTGTTTGCAAATTAATTAAAAGATGTCAACAAGAGAGGATTTGACCATCAAACCTTACGTGTTAGAGCCAGAGGAGARTGAGGATGATGAATTTGTAGTTGGTAAGTCCAAACAACTAATTTGACATAATATCAGAAATCATCAGAAAAACTGAACGGGTTGAAAAATATGATCCAAACAGAAAATAAAGATATCTAAGCAGCACCAGGATAAACTAAATTCAACTTTTCTGTACTCCTAGAGTTTCCAAGCCCACAACAAAATGTATTTTAACAGCTAAAAAAGTGCATTTTGCATCAAATGTCCCCTTTAAGACGCACATCTTCACCTTTGCTGTTTAAAATATTAACAAAAATGCAAAACCAGACGAAGCGATMGCCTCGATGTGTTTCCCTCAGAGATGAAGCAAATTTCTACAACTCGAGGAGAGTAATGGAGGCTGAACGATGAGGTGCGTAGGAGAATTAGGATATTGAAAGTCTGTTAAAGGTGCTGACCGCTGCATTGAAGAAAAGGGGGGAGTTTGTGATTGAAGCCAATCCACTGTCGAGTGTTCCTCCCACGCACCGGAGCCTTGAGCTACACTTGGCTGCCGTCATCCTTCTTTGCCGTCATTCGATTGTCCGAGCTCAGAGAAAAAAAATAAATCATCATCATCTTTTGATGAGAGGAAACAATAAAACAAAAACTTTGAATAGCAGTGATGAAAGCACACGCAGTATAGATRTAGCCTTGGACTGCGCGCCTCTCGGGCTCAAACTGGCTTTTTACTAATTTAAGTTTTCAGCAGTGATTTCAGATGAACTTGTTTTCATAGTGGTGGAACGTCAGCCTCGATGGTGGAAAACTGAATCCATTTAAAGGTTGGCACATTTACAGGGTTTTAAATCCCCTCTGCTGTGACCTGTGTGTTTGTGCGCAGTAAATAGAGGTCGGCGGTGCATGTTTGTGTTTTTAGTGGGGGACGCAGATATTTATTTCTGCGCCGTATTGGCATGTGGGAGCACATCTGTAGAGCAATAAGTGGCCCGGCAGTGGTGATAGTCTTCCTTGTTATTTTGGATGAAACAGCACGTCCTCCAGGCAACAAAAGACGCCTCAGAGCAGCGGCTGATCCTGCTGGGCTTCAGAGGAGAGGTGCCTTTTCTCACTGGATCTTAGCTTTTTTTTCTTTCCTCCCACGCACTTTTTTTTTTAGTTTTTTTTTTTTAAGTGGGTCTGAGACAAAGGAAATAAGGGCGAACAGGAGGAGGATGAAGATCCTCGTCTGAATGTTGAAAATGAATTCAAAAGGCGGTTCGTCTCCCCCGTGGTTGTCGTTTCAGCCCCCTGTCGTCTCGCTCTCTGTTTGCCCTTTCAGCATCTCTGTCACTTTCCTCTGACATGAGTGATCTGAGACGTGGAGGGGCTTCATGTGTCCAGATCCAAACAATGCTAATAAAAAAAAAAAACCCTACAACAATGCAGGAAGGGCTGAGCTGCCAACGTCAACGCCAACGCTGACCAACTGGAGTCCACCGGCGCCTCCTGGACAGTTGATTGAAAAGAGCAAATCAAAAACATCCACGCTGATGATTGAAGAGGAGCAGAAGAGGCACCAAAAGGTTCAGGACAAAAAAAAAACAACCTTGTGGGTTGAATAATCAGCTAAAGCACCTTACAAAACACAGCTTGAAAACAGTTTATTTTTCCAACAGGGGTTTAGAAACGACACAAAAAGTCCTTCACATCAAAACACAATCATCCCATCATCTGTCCTTTTTAGTTGTTTTCAGATGCTTTCCTGTGGTACCACTTCCTAACAAGAGCCTTTTTTATAAAGGTTTATTGATGCTTTAAGAGTAGGTGAACATAGTGCAGACATGCAGGTAACACACTGACAAACCTTTCATTTTTTTCCACAGCGTTCAAACTTTACAGCAGGATTTTTACTTCTGCAGTTYGACTGATTTATGAGAAACTTTGCAACAATTGTGAAGCTGACCTCATCATGTGAGGCTTATTGTCTGCTTGAAGACTTTTATCTATTGAARAGAATAATACATTTTGTTTTGCTGCTGAGTTTTACGTATTCTTAAAGCACCCTGCAGCTGAGGGATCTCTAAAACACGAAAAGTAAATCYAAACCAGAACAACGCACATCGTCCTGCATCAATGTTTTAAGTAAAGATCTTGTGTGGTCTGTTGCAGTTTGTGTAGGGGATGAMTCTCAGCTACTACCACTCCAAACATTAGCTCAGAATCTGTAAAATCCTTCTTTTTTATGTTCACTGATTAGGTGTGGCAGCCATCTTGAATCAAGTCGAGTCAAAACATTTCATTAAAATCTGTCAAGTTTTGCTAACAGGAAATAGGATTTTTTTTTCATGATGGTGCAAATGTTAAAGAGTCCACCGTCAGTGCCACAGTCCTAAACTATTAGAGATTTTTTTTTTGTGTGTGTGTAATTATTTAACAYAATCTGAAAAGAGTGTGTGAATTGTGTTGAAGCAGCTGAGTCAGTGTGTTTGTTGCAGATGAAGTCAGCCTGGAGGGGACGGTGGTGCACAGAGCTGAATGCCGACCTGTCGTCTCTGAAAACTACATGAAGATTAAAAGGTGAGAAAACGTCAGAGACCAAAACTGAAAGGGATAAAAAAAACAATAAGGGCCTTGCAAAAGTTTCTAACTTCAACCTTTTACAGTCTGTTTTGTACAACAAAGTATTAGGGCCACACAGAGGTTTTTTTTTAATTACGAGAGTAAAGTCACAATATTATGAGAATAAATTTGGAATATTATGAGAATAAATTTGGAATATTATGAGAATAAATTCATAATATTACGAGATTAAAGTCGTAATACTATACCCTTTACACGAAAAAGCGTATGCAGTTACCACTGCATTAAAATGAGGAATATTGAGCTACTTGTCAAGTTGTTCTTTAGTATTGCTTAAAATAAATAGTTCATCTTTTAGCACTTTAGCATCAAATTTTCAGTAGCAGGACTTGGAAATTGTGCAAACGACTGTAAACTGAAGCCGTATTATAATTAATGGATGCATTGATAGATTTAGTCGTCACACAGCTAATTTGGATGAAAGTATATTAAGCTAACAGTGACCCGAGTCATCACGGAACACAGACACATGGCTGTCCACAGCAGGTGTGAGGAAAATAAGGAGGAAATGAGGAATGGAAAATGGACATGTCATGTAAGATGATGGCTTTTTTTCTCGTAATATTACAACTTTAATCTTGTAATATTACGACTTTATTCTCGTAATATTACGACATTCATCTTGTAATATGATGTCTTTATTCTCGTAATATTACAACTTTAATCTTGTAATATTATGTCTTTATTCTCGTAATATTACAACTTTAATCTTGTAATATTATGTCTTTATTCTCGTAAAATTATGATGTTAATCTTAAAATATTACGACT